TTTGCCTTTTGAATGTTGCCTTCTGACATGCAGCCCTTGTCACACTAGGCCTGAGACTTCTCTGATGGGGAGTAGCTTGGTTGAGTGCATGCTTGACTTATTTTTTCTAAATAAATAGAGGCTCCTAAGGCTCCAGATATTTCTTTGCCACAAATGTTAGATTCTCTTCTCTCCTTTTCCTTTCTCTCTGTCTTCCTTCTGTACACTGTAAATCTAATACGATGTTCAGAAGCTCTTCCAGTTTGTACCACTGGAAACCCTCTGCTCCTCCATTGCCCATCAGTCCATGGCTGTTGAAATACTCCCTCTTTTTTAAAGCATGAGCCTTATGTTTCTGATGATTGTCTGAAGGGATCCTTTGTCAACTTCTGTTTTTCTGCCACAGCCCAAATTTACAAAACTAGCTTCTTTAGTTCCCATTTTTTAAATGGTGCTGTTGTAGTGGGTTGAGAGAAGAACTACCTTCCTTAACTTTCCAGATGACTTGCCTGCTGGGAATGCAGGTGGAAAGATTTGGTACATTTAACTTTATTTATTTATTTATTTTTAAAGAGAAAACCTAAAGTGCAGCTTTGCATTGTGTTGTTACATTTAATTATAGGTGGCAGGGTCTGGCCACAGTCCAAAGGAAGGCTGTCAGTTCCTCTCTTGCTGTCCACGCTTGGCAGGATGCTTCCTCACGCCCACCTCTCTCCCCCTTGCTGTGACTTTGGCTTCCGCCAGATGTCACACCACTGCTTGTCACCGCCCAGCCTCCCGCCGCTGAGCTTGTTGTTTCGGTGTATTTATCACAACTGTTCTCTTCAGCTGTAAATTCTGAAGAATTTCACGCTCTTAATCACTGCAGTTATTTTAAATCAAACAGCATAAAGTGCAAAGCTAGTTGGGGTTGGAAAATATTTCCTGTAACTTCCCCCCCCTCCCCCCAAGTTAGTATTTCTTGAGACCAAAAAAAACACCCCACCCCCCCCTCCCCCCAGTATTTTGAGTATTCTGTTAGCTGCCACTCCAAAAACCTGAAGTCATGGGAACATACTTAAAAAGTTTGGAGACTGAGCACATTAAAACACAGGGCTGTATTTGAAATGCTTAGTAGCAGGATGTCTCTTAAAGTTGGGTATAGTTTAGTACTGGGCAAATGCCTGGCTTGATTCTTTTGTGTTTGGCAGCTAAGGTACGAATCTCTGGGGGTGCCACAGGTCAAGATTGGAGTGTTTTGTCAGAGCCCCTTTAGGAGGGCTACATTAGAGAAGGTGAGTGAGTGAAAGGACCGCTACTAGAATCACAGGGATGCTGCTGCCCCATGTTGAGCTGGAAGGGAAATATTCCTTAACACCACTTTGCCACCATGTCCATCCATTCTGCGAAAACTAGAAAAGCAGAGAAATGTATGCAGACAAGGTTCCTTGGGTGAATTTGATATCTTTTATTAGACCAACCCAAATAGTTGGAGAAAAGTTATTAAGCAAGCTTTCGGGTTCAAAAACCCTTCGTCAGGCTAAGGAAGTTTCAGCAGTTGGCGTGTGCTCTTCCTGGATGGAAGTATGTATGCGCACTTGACATTTCTACTGTAGTGTTTTATAATGCTATTCATCTCTCTACTATCTGTGCTGTTGACCTTCTGCTCAAAGTGCAAAAGGCCAAAATTTTAAAGCTAGATAAGTACCTAATTACCTAACATCTGACCTAAGGGTCCTAAGGGTAACATTTGTCTGAGGTGGCTAATTTGCAGGATTTTATTTATTCGGCAAGGTATTCAGTCAGGTGCATGGAAGTGTCAAGAAGTTGCATGAGCTAAGACTCGCACTTTGTATGGTGTATGCCATGTAACTGAAAATTGTAGAGTGGGTTAAACTACTCTTGAATATAAAGGAGTCTGTAGGTTGAAGGGACACAACTTTAATGGGTATGGTGTTTGGTATCTTCTTGTAGTCCATACTTTCAGATACTGATTCCTTCAGCCTTGGGAGCTGGAAGAACTGTAACACCAGGCATTAATGGAATGATAAAGTGGAGCATTTGTCTCAAAATCATCATGCTATCTTGCTACCTTTTGCTCTAGAAATCATGGTATTTTAAATGACTTTTTAAAAGATGAAACATTGATTTTCACATACAAAAATATAAAGTTTTGAAAATATGAAGTTATAGCAAAACTCCCAAATGATTATTTGACCATTGCTTTGAAGTGTTACAAAATATGTCTGCTTGTAACTGGAGTGTATTGTGTACAGGCTCTCATCTTGCCACATTGGAAGAAATCTTGGCAAATTAAATTCCAGTGGTGTGCGCGCGCTCTGGGCAGGTCGCATGCATATTAAGGTATTGAGAAGGGATGTTACTTAAGAGATCTTCCACTGAAGATGAATGAATTACTCTCCAAAATTGATGCACGAAAACATTCTTTTAATATTTGGTTTCTTCCTTGGAACCCTAAACTCTTAACAGGTCACAAGTTGCCTGCATCTTCTGGGTGGGCTATTCTTCAGTTAGAAGCCTGAGGGGAGGAAATACCAAATAAAAATGTAAATACAAATTCTCCAGTGATTAAGTCCCACTTTTTTGTGTAGCAAGGTGTCCCAAAATAAAATAAACTTTATTTACATCCAGAATTAAACAAAGTGAGCAAAAGATGTTTCATAAAGCATCATCCAAAGAATTTCAGAAGCTGCACATTGTTACCCAGCTGTATTGGTTTAATTAGTCTGTGTAACACCATTTATTTCTGCTTAAGCATCTCGCACATGCTGAAGTTGGCAATTTGAAGTCGCACAATAATTTGTGAGTTATCTTCTGTGCCACGTGTCGTGGCTTTTAAATACTAACTTTTGTGTGTGTGTGAGATGTTTAAGCATAAATAAATGATGATATACAGGCTAATTAAACCAATACAGCTGGATAACATCTTGATCTTGACACATTTTGAAATATCTTTTCGTGGAAGACTGTCAACTTATAAGAATGTTACATTTCAGGTGTAAATCAGCCTGTCCTTTCTTCTAACCTAATGAAAGTTTACATAAAAAAAACTCTTTTAGAGAGAAGTGCTCAAGTGTCTGGCTACAAGGAGTTTGAATCTTTCAGCTCGATCAACCCTTCAAATTACGTATAAATTGAAGCAACTTGGTGAAATAAAATGGCCAAAATGTTGAGTCATTTGGTTGTCAAGACTGATTTTTTTTTTTTTTTTTTAATTTTAATTTAATTTATTTTTTATGTGCATAAACTAAGGATATGTTTGTTTGTCAGGTTGTATCACTTCCCAAACTGTTCAGTTGTTCCTTTGTGACGGGGGTGTGCAACTCTAATGCTGCTGTAATTTGAAAACCAGCATGAAATATTTCAACTCTTATTTCTATATAGTACCTCATTTGAAATATCCTTTCTTGTCATATTAGTGCAGTTTCACCTTATAAATATTTTATCCCAGCTATTTCATACTAATCCTTTTATTTTGTTAAAAGCTTTTTAATAGCATTTTACAGGGGGATGGATGTGACAGAATAACTACAGGTGTCCATAGGCAGGACAATATTGGAATATCGGGTTTTTTTGCTCCAAAGAATTAAATTGCGTGCAAGCTTGTATTATTGAAGCCCAGTCTTTACCTAACTGCATGTAAAGGACTTTTAGAAAGCTTTTACTTATTCTCTTTTCTCATTAACGGTAATGCACCATTAATTCTTTCCTACTTGGGATGGTTGGCTTGCTGATCTAGATTTTTCAGAATATTAATACTATGCTATTTTTGCTTAATGACAGATATTAGTTAATACCAGGTATTGAGATCAGTGTTTTATACTTCAGTTAGTTCTATACTATCTTGAAAACAGGCATATGATGATTCTACATATTCTTTGTATGATCCTGTGCCTCAGAATGAGTTTTTGTATGCTCATTTGAGCATACATGTGTATTCTCAAATGAATGTCACATGTTTTGGAATAATGTATATACAAGATCACTCTCTCCGTTGTGGAAAATGCAATAATAAGCACACAAGTGTTTTAGAAACAGGAGAAACCATGTTAAAGACAAAACAAACTGCTGAGGAATTGCTGGATCTCTGGGTAGAACACAGTAAAAAGTCTGTCTTAGTAGAAATGGGTGGTCTGTCTTGGCTAAAGAATAAGGTATTTCCATGTTTTCTTTCTTGTTTTAAGACTTTGCAAGCAATCCATTAATGAAGAAAGATATAATTTAAAGCAGATTGACTTTTACTTCTCTTCCTCTGTCAAGCTATTTCTGGAAGATAAAAGACAAAAAATGATGATCTTAAATGTCTGTAGAAAGCAAAAGCCTTTGTTTTTTTTGGTACGGTCTTGATCTTCTAATTTTAGAAGTGGGCCAGATTCTGAATGAAAGCCACTCTATAGATTACCTCACTAGTCCTGATTATCCAGGTTAGTGTAATGACTTATAGATTAAGTATAGTTACACGCAATAAAATTATAATTGGCGGTTAATATTACAGAATAACATTGCATGAACATGTTCACACTGTTCTAAAGCCATACATATGGTTTCATACTCACTAAAATGCTTTATGGCTAACTCCAGTGCAACTGAGAAAACATCACATTAAATTAACAAAGACGTTTTTGTACAGTGCAGAGAAGTCCATGTTGTGTTTACATGCTGACAGCAAAAAAACATAGACTCTATACTGAGATGAAGGAACTCGATGTGAAAGTGTTTTAAGTACAAGTTGTCCTCCTTCTAGAATTGAAGAGCTTGCTGTTAACGTGTCCCAAGTGTAGATTTAAGGAAAGGGCCTGTATTGCTTAAAGGAATGCAGGGGGGTAAAGAATTCTGCTTCCTACTAAGAAAACTTGAGCCATTCTCAGGGCTTGAGACCCAGTGCTTTTTTAGGCAAAGGAGCATTTTTGAAAGTGGACAGTTTTTTGCAGGTCTGTGTCTGGTATGGGAAGCATTAGAGGGGAGATAGATCTGTGTTGCAGCATTAAGCGGAACTGTTGTATTTTTTTTTTTTCTTGCAGACTCCTTACCATGTCAACCTCCTCTTGGCTGGCTATGATGACCATGAAGGTCCTGCCCTTTATTATATGGATTATCTTGCAGCCCTGGCTAAAGCTCCTTTTGCAGCACATGGATATGGTGCATTCCTAACCCTCAGCATTCTTGACCGCTATTACAAGCCAAGTAAGTGAAGAGTGTGGAGAAGAGAGAATTCTTCTGCCGACTTGTAAATACATCTCAACATGGTATACTTTCCTTGTGAATTAAGTTATCACTCTGTCCACTACTGCTGTTATGAGTTTCAAATCTCTGTGGTGACTACTTAACAGTGAAAAAGTTAGATTTGTATTTCAGCAGAAATGGAAGCCACCGTTAAACTGTACCACATTTTGAAGTGCATGCAGTTCCTGCTTGAAACCATCATAAAGGAAAGGGGGTTAATCTTTATCTAGAGCATGAACAGATTTTTATTCTAAATTGCTGACCTGTTAGCTACTGGCAGCCCTTATCTGTTAAATAGTGTTTTGATGGCTTTCCTGCAGTGTTTTGGTACTGGTGACTTTTTGCCCCAGGCATTCACTGTTAATATATTTTGTATTCTTTTATCTTCAGAAGCCAAAGAAATTTAAGAAAAGTGGTTAAATCATGGTGTTCAAAACAAAGCAGTGGTGTGGGGAAATATGCTTAGGTAACACCTGCTTTACAGACAGGATTTCAGATGTCTTTCCACTGCTAATTTAGTGACTATGAAGCATGCATACTGGTATAACTCCTCCTAAAATGCCCATCTTTAGAGTGCAGTCAGTCTCAATTCTTATTTGTCTGTATCTTGTATGAGCCCAAAGATCTGTTAGAGACCGGAGAATGAATGACACTACTACCCAGCCTGTTTCTTCTATCCCTTAGCTGACCTGAGGGTAGATGGCTTGTTCTTACTGCTTTTATAATCTTAGCTTATGCAGATAATGAACATAATTACATCTGCATGGTTAAAACCCTTCCTTCCTTCCCTCCCTCCCCAGCATTAGTCCCATTTTACAGATCAGGAAAATGAAGCACTGTCTCTGTCCCCTCAGGAAATCTGCAAATATAAGAGCAGGGTCGAGCTCTGATTCTTTTAATTGCAAAAATCCCTTGAATGTTGGCAGGAATATTTTGTGCACAAAGTTTAATTTGCTGACTCTTTACAGACCCCTTTTCTTAGCTGTATCT